CAACTCGAACTAATATTATAGCTTAAATTATTAAATGAAGGTGAGCATATAATATTGGAGCTATGTCTATAAATCTAATAAATGCTGTTTTGCAAGAAATATTTTACATGACAGTGGGCCAAAAATGGAAAAAATTAGGTTACATTTACACTGTTACACAGCTAATGGCCGACTGAAATTGGGTATTTTTAGGTCCTCTCCGTAAAAGCCACTTATCGGACCTAAAAGTAGCATAGTTTTTTTTTTTTCCCTAATCTTTTGGTATCTAAAAATCATATTAAATTTTAAATAATTCAAAATCGAGTCACGTTAAACTTTTCTAATTTCTCTATTTACAATATTCGAAGTCAAAATTATATTTAAAAATAATTGAATTCCTTTCCTAAGGCCGTTGGTCCCAAAAGTAGCATAGTTAATGGACTGGATAACCGTTCCCAGTTTTGGGCTGAAACAAGCCAGCCCAACCGACAACAACGCCAGCTCGTCCTTTATGCCTTCTCCGGCGAAGTTCTTGATTCCGTAGTCGAAGTTGTACGATTTGTGGCTTATCGGAAAGTTGGACATAATTCCAAAACAAACACTTACGTCCTCCAAAAAATCCAAAATACACAGTTTCCCCTTCATCACGATCCCCCGTCGTTCTTCATCTTCTCCATTTCTCCAAGCTGTTTTGATCGGAACTAAACGAGTTCCGCTTTCAATCGCGATCACAGAATCGCTTTCTCTCTTCTTTTGTTTTCCGCTGATGGAATCACCGTGGGAGAGCTGGAATTGGGAGTGAGAATGAGCTCTGTGGATTTGAGTTCATAGCCTTGATCCTACAATCATGTGGTTTTCCTTCTGGAAATCCAGAGATCGATTCTCCTTGGACGAACTCAGGTTTTCCGGCGTTCTAATTAATTTTGATGATTTTAGTATTTTTAAAAATGTTTGTTTATGCTTAATTCAGATAATCAAGCACTGTTGTTTCATGCATTGTTTTTGTTTTCCATTGATTTTACTTTGACTGTTAGCTGAAAATCGAAGTTTAGACTTTATTGGAGTTGAAATTCAGGAGTAGACTGGAAGTTAATAATTAATATCTGTGTTGCTATTATACACCAATAGGATTAGAAGTTGACAAAGGCGTTCTCAGTCTGTTGCTTACTTGGTCTCGAATGAAGATACTGCAAATCATTGGTCATTATTTTTTTTTCCTATTAATGTGAACAAGCAAACCCAAGATATAAATTGACTTTACTCTTTAATATATGGAGACTTTATCAGATTTTAGTCAATGATTGTGCTTGACGCTGAATTTTCAGCATGCCTGATAGTTAGTTTATTCATATGAATCCTAGATTAAGCATGTTAATTGAATAAAGTTGGAATAGAAGCTTGAGTGCTACCGTAAGATTGGATGAGTTCTATATATGGATAAAATTTTAATTTCAAACAACTTGCTGTTCTATTTTTCCCTCTCAGAACAATTCTTATCTTGGAAGCTATATAGTGGGTCAATTTCCTTTATCTTGGTAGCTAAAGCGAGAAGATGTATGTGCTCATTGTGGCATGAAACTCAAATACTGTTTTTTTTGCATATTTTAGATTAGTTAGTCCTTATTCCTTACCTTTTGCAGACATTTATGTGATCAACTCCAGAAAGTTCAAATTTTAAATGATGTTAACAAGGTAAGTCATATTTATTCTCTCTCTCTCTTGCTGGTTCCTTTCATTCCTTTCATTATCCTCATTTTGTTATGTTTACAGTTCTGTCACATTGTGTTAATTGCGTAGGATTTTGTTATTGAGGCACTGAGATCCATTTCAGAGTTGTTGACATATGGCGATCAGCATGACCCTTCTTTTTTTGAGTGAGGCTTCTAAATGTTTATTGTGCATTCCATACTCATTGGTTTCAGTAATTTCATGTCAATGTTCTCTCTGCAGATTTTTCATGGAGAAGCAGGTCATGGAAGACTTCATACGTATACTAAAGATTAGCAAAATTGTAGCTATTTCGCTTCAGTTGCTTCAAACAATGAGCATAATGATCCAAAACCTCAAAAGTGAACATGCAATGTGTAAGTCGGGAATGACAAAAGAACCAAGCTACACAGTATTTCTTGCAATAATTGTAGGCTTTTGTAATCTTTCCTCTGTAAATTTTGCAGATTATATGTTCAGTAATGAACATGTCAACTACCTAATAACTTACACATTTGATTTCTGCAATGAGGAGCTACTATCTTACTATATATCTTTCTTGAGGTTTCTTCTCATCTTCTTTTGGTTGTCCTCATTGTGGATGCTTTTTATTTATTTCGTTTACTGCTCATGCATTAATCTATGGATTTTTTTTTGGTTGAAATTTCCCTTTGTTTTTGAAGGGCAATAAGTGGAAAACTGAACAAGAACACTATATCGTTACTTGTAAAGTCACAAAATGTAAGTTGTTTAAAACTCTCTCTCTCTCTCTCTCTCATTTTACTTATCTATTGCTCTCTATGCATGTAGGATGAAATAGTTGCTTTCCCATTGTATGTTGAAGCAATACAGTTTGCTTTTCATGAAGAGAGCATGATACGTACTGCAGTGCGTGCGCTTACACTTAATGTTTATCATGGTTGGTTGCTAATATCATTGCTGATTTCTTTGATTCTAATTTATTCTTCAGTTCTGTCGATTTAAATTTCTCATACCTTTTTCTTTGATTTTCAGTTGGGGACGATGGTGTAAATATATATGTCACCAGTGCCCCTCATTCTGATTATTTTACAAATTTGATCTCTTTCTTCTGCAAGCAGTGCATTGATCTAAGCAAATTGGTGTCTGACAGTCTAATGTAAGAGTTAGAGTAATGATCTTGCTTACAAATGTGAGTGAATCTGTTTTATTTCCTAAAAGTTTTTTTTTTTTTTTTTTGGTTGCTGAGGCAGAAACCCAGGCACAGGCTCAATGTCTGCAATTCTTACTGCTGTAGATGAAATTGAGGACAATCTCTACTATTTTAGTGATGTTATCTCTGCTGGGATCCCTGATGTTGGGAGGTTAATAACAGGCAACATTGTGCAGCTTTTGATAATTCCTTTGCTTCTGCCTTCTGTGCGGATGGATATTGTCAATGTATGATTCGTTTCCAGTATCTTGTTTTGCACTCTCTTTTTCTAGTTTCTGAACATTGGGGACTTTATTATTCTATAAGTTTTAAGTGCTTTACCTTTAACCTCAGCTTTTTGTGAATGTAGGAACCACAAATTGGCACTATTACTTCCTTGTATCTACTTTGTTGCATCTTGCGCATTGTCAAAATCAAGGACTTGTCAAACACTATTGCTGCTGCTCTTTTTTGTCCTCTAGAGGCCTTTGTTCCTAATTCTGGAGCTAATCTGAATTGCCATGCATCTGGAAATGGTTTTAAATGTGAAAAAGAAGAAGTTGGAATTAATAGAGTTACCAAGGTGGATGGACAATTAAGTGTCAAATTATCAAATATTGCTTGTTCTTCACCTGATCATCCTGATGACATTATCACTCAAAATAATTCTAGCAGTTCAGGTTTGGCATTGAGGTAAAACATTTGTTTTTTATCAATTATGCCCTTTTTCTATTGAATGCTTCTTTTTTTTTTTTCTCCTGATTTTCTAGGTGCTCCTTTTCTTTTTGTGATAAAAATCGTGATTTCACCACAACATCTGAATATTTATAATCAATTTTTGTTTTATGCATGTCCATTGATATAAATGTTTGTAATATAGAGGCCCAAACCCTAGTCCATTCAAATCTGTATGATAGGGAGTAGTGCTTCCTGTTTAGGAGTAAATTTGTCCAATTTCCTGGTCAATGCTCTTTTTCAGACTTTATGGTTCTGGTTTACAGTTTCTCTTCTTGATGTAACATTCAATCTGGACATATGGATGGTGTAGGGAAGTTTTGCTTCTATTTGTCACTTGTGGGGATAAAGTACAAGCTTTGGGTTCTTTGACTGTACTGGCTACACTGTTGCAAACTAAGGGTAATACTGGCGATTTAATTAAAGTTGCCTCATTGCTTTGTGTTCCTTATATTTTATTTTTTTCTACTAAATATGTGCCTCTGTAGAACTGGATGAATCAATGCTAGATGCTCTTGGCATTCTTCCTCAACGCAAACAGCACAAGAAACTGTTGATGGTGAGTATTAGTTTTTGTGTTCTTTTTTCTCATTTTGGATAACTGTTATCTGAATCTAGCCAATGCAAGGGCTTTCAATACTCATAATAGTTTATGAAAAAAAGGTCTGCTTCTGGTATGCCACTGATAAGTTGGAGACTAATAATGCCTTGGAAAGATTTGAAGGTTCCCTGCCAGTTGAAGGATATAGGTTGGTGGATGGAAAGACCAGATAATAGGAATGGTGATTGGAGTAATGGAACAATGGTAGATTTAGTTTGGCAGTTTTTCTAGTCTAATTAGCTTTCCATCTATCTGAAGAAATTCCATATCTATGTGTTTTTTTTCTTTCCTTGGTTATTGGTTCTGTTGATTTAAATTTTCTAAGTTTCTATGAATTATAAAGTTAGTCTGTAGATCTATCTATGAATAATGAAAACATTTCTTGTCTTGAGTGATGTAACTCCTTCATTACTAATATGGAATTTGGATTTTTTCTTGATTACTCCTTAGTGCTATTAAAAGTCAATTGTGCCAGAGCTTGCTCGCAGTATTTCTCTTCCATGCTCATGTAGTATTTGCTTTTAGGAGATGTACAAAAATACCTATCAGGAGGAGGGCCAAGTTGATGGCAATTAGAAGTTGGGCATATTGGATTTTTTGTATCTTATAGCCTAGTTAGTCATTCTTAGAACTGTGTTCCATGAGAGTACGTTAATTAAAATGTAAAGCGTTTTTTTTTTATGTTCTGGCAGCAAGCTTTGGTCGGTGAGCACGCTGGTGAAGAGCAACTTTTTTCTGCTGAGAGTGTATCTATAGAAGACAGTATCAGTGGTGAGCTTGATTCTTACATGCAGAAGCTGAAGGTAGTGCCATTCTTTTGTGTTATTTTTTTGTTAGTATTCTCCCTCTTTGTAACCGGTAGTATATCATTTAGATTTGTTACTTTGCTATCCATGCTAGAATTAGATGTAATATAATTTCCTTGTATGTTTGACAGGAGCAATATGGAGTCTCATGTTCTTTGGCAGAAGGTGGAACAAGCCCTCATCAACACAGAAACCAGGTAATGTTTTGGGACATTTTGCAGGTGAAGAGGGATGGGGACTTGAACCTAGGACCAATTGCTCCTAGATGTAAATGGCCTTTAGGCTAAGCTGGGTTGGTCACAAAACAGGGTATTATCATTTATAATTGTAACCCGAGGAGTTGAGTGGTAACCAGCTCTCTATGTGAGAATAAAAAAAAAA